TTTTTTTTTTTTTTTTTTTTTTTTTTTTTTTTTTAAATGTTTTATTTTCTACCCCGAACCCCCCCCCCCCCCCCCCCCCCCCCCCCCCCCCCCCCCCCCCCCCCCCCCCCCCCCCCCCCCCCCCCCCCCCCGCCACTCTGACAAGCAAATTGTCGCGCCTTGCACCACATCGCCCCCCCCGCCAGAAAAGAAATGATTTGGAAAAAAAATACCGTGCAGGGCCAAAATCATCACGCCTAGCCACGCAGCCCCACAAATCGCCATGTGGAAGGCGGTCTCCAAACAGCACAGCCATCTGCTCCTCTCGTCACTTCCACGATTCCACCCTACCCCAATCAGCCGGCCACATTCCCCTGCTAGCACAGACTCACAGACGTCCATCTAGAACCGTTGCAGGCAGAAAAAGGCCAATCTAATAACAAAAACTGGCTGTGTCCCAGAAGCGGCACTTTTTTGCCTGCGTGGCCCCTGTTCCTTGTTGGTTCCCAGGTCCCGCATGGGCTCGTGACCCAGGTTAGTCTGTCTTTTTTTTTTCTTCTTTTTTTTTCTTTTTGGAACCGTGCTCCATCTATTGGTGGGGAGCAGCACATGCTGGAAAACGGGTCCAGCGTCCCTTAATAAGATAGAGATGTTATGTTAGAATTACAATTTTACACAGTAGAATTAAATTGACGTAACAGAAAAGTTCTTCCGAACGTCAAAATGTGAACAGCTTGATGTTAATAACTTAATATGTGTAAAATGAGCGCCTGAGGTAGCAAGGAGCAGGCCCCACTCACACTATGTTTGCGCTAAACTGGTCTGAATCTGGCAATCTCTGACGACCTGGTTTGCCACTAGTGAGGCCTCCCTGTTAGTCTATCTTCAAGCCCCAATCTTTTTTTTTTTCCGAAAACCTACACACACAAGATCCCTTCTATTCTGGGAGGACGACAGCCCGGTTACTCTTCACCGGCAAGCGAATGAACACAGTCTCAAGCCCCAATCTTACCAACCTAGCTTCAGCCTCGTTTTTTTTTTTTTTTTTTTTTTTTTTTTTTTTTTTTTCATCAACTCCCCCACCAGTGTTAGTGGTGCTGATAAGAGCAGACACCACTAACACCTGGGGAGAGGCTCCATCTATTGGTGGGGAGCATCACCTGCTACAAATTACAACCAAGGCAGGTAGATTTAATCTTGGGGATGTTGGGTGAAGCGGCAGAGGTCACCTGACGCCAGAATAATCGCGCCAGGAGCACAGGTTGATTGGCCAAGACTGAGAGAGAGTCAAGCAGTTCCTATCCCTCTGCAAGGATGATAACTCTGCCAGGTTGACTGACATGGCAGTTGCTATTCCTCTGCTATTGATCTTCCTGCTTGTGAGTTGATTTGCCGAATGCTTCTACATGTGCAATCATCCTTTTTGAGGCTTTTTCTGATATGCTTCTCTTTTTCCTCGTCCTGCCTGGCTATAGATCTACTGCCTGTTTTTTTGTCCCATTTCCCACCGCTGCCTACTCTACGAAATGTCTCGTCGGTCGCTTACCTCAACGAAATCAGAGTTGCTTTCCTGTTCTGTTCTTGAAGACAGATTTGACCGTGCTGATTTGATTCTGCGGTTGCTTTTCCGACGCTATTGACTTTATGAAAAACGTTTATATGTGGCTATGGGCTTGGATGAGACTTACAGGTGCTTTACAGTTGAAGCCACAGCCAGCTGCTCTTGAAGACTGAGTAGATCTACTGCTGCCCTGCCCTTTGTGCCTCAGTCAGCATCACCATACCCGTTACTCATGCTGCTTCAGCCGGTGCATGGCATCATTCATGGTGGCGGGACTCTGCCCACAGGGAGAGAGATCTGTAGGTACACTGGGTGTCCGCTCTCTTTTGACACCAATACGTACAATGCCGCATATGTGTGCTGAGGTGAGCAGCCCGGTGACCAATGCAACCATCCACCCTTGTCCTTATTGAATCTCACTTTGGCAGGATGCGCTACACCATACCCGTTTCCAGAGGCCGGCAGAAGCTGAGGGTTCGTCAGTGGGGTGTTGATGAGCTCCTCGCTTTGAGGACATGTCATGCGGTCACCATGGCAGAAGTAAGAAGAAGGGATTCGCAAGATCCCATTCCCGGGCCCCTGGTCACTGCGGAGAAAAAAAACGAAACCTTGCTTCATCCGATTCTTCACGACTTCTGGAGCATTCTGAAACCCCCTGTGGAAGTTGATGTATGCCATAAGTCGGTGCTTCCCCTCCTTATTACACCTTGGCTTCGTCAAAATGAATGAGCTCGCAAGGAGCGATTGTACGACACATTTATGCATCCCATACTCTTGTGCTTGCTCGCATTCTCTGCCGGCGGGATTGTCATTCCCAAGGCAGTTCTCACAATGGGTTGTCGGCTGTGGGACAACAGTGCTCCGCACTGGCTGGCCTACGACATGCTCTATCCAGGGCAAGAGATGGCTGACGCGGGCAAACACACTGGGGAACGTGGTCAGATCGCATACATCACGTTCGTGATTTCCAAAACTCGTCACTCCCACTTGCACTGGGCATCCCCCACTTGACCGAATGTTCAGTGGACCACCACTGCAGAAATTTCAAACCGAAAACGGACAACAACAAGTAACCCAAAACTACCTTAGTTAGTTAGTCTGCCTGTCAAGAATAGAGTCCGAAGACTCCGAACCGATTTGTCACAGACCAAGTGCAATTTTTTTCAAGAAACAAGTGCGGTAGTAGCACACTTTCAAACTGTAAAGGCAAAAAAAACACTGATGGGCAACGGAAAAATGGCCGCAGTTCGAAAAGGCAGTCATAACATCAGAAGGCGGTAACATCAGGCCCCGAGTTTGAAAAGGGCGGTTGCAGCAC